TGTTACAGCTTTCATTTCAGCAGTTTTGATTCACTCATTTATTCCACAAATATTTACTGGGTGTCACTATGTGTCAGGAACCTTCTGATTCTCAGGAGTACAGCAGTATACAAAACAAACGAAATCTCTAAATTACACGTTCTTTTACAGGAGTCACGTCTATCCAAATGCTGCGCGGGGCTTTGCTGTGTATTAAAAATTGTCACAATAGCCCTGGGATCTCTCAACGCATCTTCGAAGTTCCCCAAGTAGTCCATTTTCTTGGTAGCCAAGTTTTCTTTTAGCTTAGTCAGTGAGCCAAACTAAAGGGCAGCAGACAGTCCTCCTATCCTCCCAGATTATATACACGAGGTAATTAAATTTTCTTGTTTAAAAAAGTCTCAAGGCCACTGAGTCCGAGTGTATTAAAAATATGAAATATTAAGGAAAAAAATGCAACTGTATTTAAGCATTTCAAGACTTTGTTAATAATAGAAATAATGGTATCTGATCTGTTTTAGTATTGCTTTAAACATATCATAAAAAATGAGTTAAAATATCAATAATATTAGGAATATGAAGTAGAGAATAACCCCCTGCATTCAAAGTATTTTCAAATTACCTTCCCATATTCCCAGAGTTTCGAGTTCATAAGTAACAGCCAATTTGCTTGCTGGCAGCTGTATTACAGGTTTTAAATAACACAATTAATCAAGCAATATTTAATGCAAAACAATATAAAAATATGTTAGTTAAAATAAAAAATCCTTTTAAAGTACACGAAACATTTACTAATACTCAAATGTTGGGGAATTATGCAATATATTTGTACATAACTTATGGAAATTGGAAAATAATTTTATCTGGATGAAACCAAACATGTTACATAATTTACGAGCTTCAACTAAAGTAGGATTAGAGGGTAATTTACAGTCCTAAAGACATACAATTTATAAAAAAGGCTAAAAACAGTGAGCTATGGGGGGAGGGTATAGCTCAGTGGTAGAGTGCATGAGGTCCTGGATTGAATCCCCAGCACCTCCATTTAAACAAAATAAAAATAAGAACAGTAGGCTATGTATTCACCTTAAGATGTAAGAGAAACACTTACACAGTAAGGAAACAAAATTATAAAGAAAAAGCATAAATAAATGAAATAATAAAGAAATACATAATCTAACATTTAATAAAGGGTAATATCACAACCAACTTTGGTTTATTCTATGAACACAAAGTTGATTTAACATTAGGAAATCAATGTAATTCACCATATTAGTGGAATAACGGAGAAAAATTATGCAATCATCTCAACAGATGCAGGGAAAAAATTTAATATAATTCAACGGCCACTCATAGTAGAAGTATTTAGCAACTAGAAATAAAGGAAATTTCTTTAACAAAAGGTAAATATACAAAAATTAATTGTATGTTTATATGAGCAACAAACAATAAGACAATGAAATTTTCCAAAAGACAATTTACCACTGCATCAAAAATACCAATTATAACTAAAGGTCAATTTAATAAGACGTCAACACAGAAAGCTATAAAAATTATTGAAAGAAATTAAATTGATCCTAAATTTATCCAGATTCAATGTAAATCTCAATAAAAATTCCAAGTTTTTATATGTGCAAGGACATTAACAAGTTGATTCTTAAATTTACAAGGCATTATTAAAGAACAAAAAAGATTTGTTTGATGAAACTTGATCCTTACATTACACTATCAATTACACAAAATCAATTCCAAGTGAAGTGTAAATATAATACCTGAAGAGCAAAACAATTGAAAAAAATTACAGAATATTTAGGGTAGGGAAAGATCTCTTAAACCAGACATAAAAAGCATTCAACATCATGACGAAGTTTTCCTACACTGATCATATGAACTACAAAAATACACAGCAGGAAGATATTTGCATGATATCGCCAACAAAGGGTTTGAACCTAGAATACATACGGACTGCAACAAATCAATACAGACAGACAACTCAGTAGAAAGAGACTGAACAGGCACTTCATAAAATGACGCAAAAAAAATGAAATAACAAACATGAAAAGATGCTCAATCATTTCAACACTGATTACTAAAGAAGGATTCAGAGAAATACAAATTACAAGTGGGTAATACTATCATATACCCCACCACAACTGGCTAAAAAATATGCAGACTGACAATATCACGTTACGATGAGAAACAACAGGAATCCTTGTAAACCATTAGCAGGAATGTAAACCGGTACAGCCATCTTCAAAAAGTTTCCACTTAAAGCTAAAGACATATGCATCCTTTATGTCTGAACAATTCGACTCCTAGGTGTATATGACCAAGAGAAACGTTTGTGCACAATACACTAGGAGACATGTTCAATAAAATTCACAGAAATTGGAAACAGCCCAAATGCCCATAGACAGTAGGAGAAAAGATACTGTGATATATTCACACAAGTGAACACAACTGGCCCTTTAACAACATGGGTTTGAACTGCAAGGTCCACATATATGCAGGTTTCTTCCAATAACTATACTGGAAAATTTTTTAGAGACATGACAATTTTAAAAAAAGTCACAGATGAACCACATCGCCTAGAATGTTGAAAAAACTAAGAAAAGGTTAAGTATGTCATGAATGCATAAAATATATGCAGATACTAGTCTATCATTACAAAGGCATAAAGTGAGTGATATTTAACATAACATTAATGTGTCAGTTTTCTTAATGTTTTGTAACTCTGCTTTCAAAGAGTTATGTTACATATTCCTTTGCAATTGGAGAAATGAGGAGTATCAGCCTATTATTATTACAGGTAAGTGATGTCTTTAAAAATGTGTTTCCAATACTGTATTATGAATATGACTATAATGCTGTACGTCATAAACATTTCCCAGTGATTCATTCATTCATTCATTCATTCATTCATTCGTGTACAGGCTGGGCTGCTGTGAAGCAGCCGTATCAATTACCCTAGGCCACTGCAAAGAATGATACTGCTGTTGCTTTATCATCAATGCATGAACTGTTACATTTTCATGTTACTTTTCATTTCTGATGTCTAGTTTTGGCAACACATGTAACATCTACAGTGTTCTGTATCATATAAGACAACACTGATGTAGGTTCTGACAGGCGATTCACCTTGTAAACAGAGGAGGTTAACTCAGGGTATACGGAACTGAAGTCTCTCTTCCTTATGATTTTCTTAACATTTTTTCCTTTAGCTTACTTTATTGTTAAGAATACAGTATATATACATAACATACAAAATATATGTTAACTGTTTATAAGTAAGGCTTCTGCTTCCGGTCAACAAAAGGTTATTAGTAGTTAGTTTTCGGGAGAGTCAAAAGTTATATGTGGATTTTCAACTGTGTGGGGGTCAGACACCCCCTAGCCCCTGTCTTGTTTGAGGGTCAACTATATATACTACGCAGTAACAAAAATGAAAGAAACTACAGCTCCAGTAACATGGGTTAAATCTCACAAAGTTAATAAACTGTTTAGCAAAAAGAGCACCCTCACACCAAATAGTGAGATTCCATTTATAGGAAGGAAAAAATCAGGTAAAACTGAAGTACTCAGGAACACATGCTTAGATGGGAAAATTACACAAAGAGCAAGAAGGCAATGACCACATAACAACGCAAGATAGTGATTCTGAGGGGTGGGAGGGAGTACTGATCAGAAAGGGGTTCAAAAGGGGTTTCTGAGGCTGGCAGTCTATACTTCCTGACTCGGGTGGGGTTACACGGAGTTCTGACAAATCGCTATCAGGACCCTTATATCTGTCAATTGGCTGGCTCACTCAGCAACGTTTATAAAGTAGTTCTTACAAATCACCCATTTACAAGAGCACCTAAAAAGCCAAAGCCCTGAGAACTAGAATTTTTACTCAATTTACATCACTGAAGTCTAACCCTCCTTTACTGTCTTAAACATTTAAGTTTCTTGGTTCATCTACTTCTGACTAGAACACGAGGCTTTAAGTACAATGCTGACAGTTCTTGGAACTGGCAAAATTAAACACTGTATGAATAAGTAAAGCATCTTAATTCTGAAGATATCTTCCACCTGCCAAGCACCGTTAAATAAATACAGGTGTTACAAAGCAATCTAAGATTGCTTCCCCTCTCACCTCGATACTTACAATCCATTTGGGGAAATTATACATAAAAATGTTCCCACATTTACTGTATTGCAACTAACAACATAAATGACACTAGATTTCGGTTATTTATCCCCCACTGGACAGAATTTTAATGTCAGCGACGGTATCTGACTCAGTTCGTCTCTACATCCTCAGGACCGAACACAGCGCCTACCATGCAGCAGCTGAACACAAAAAAGGTCTGCTGAATGGACAAAAAAATTAACACAAAGTAACGTATGACAAATAGGAAATAACAGACAGTAAAAATACAATATACAGAATGACAACCGTGTAGGGCCTTTGGTCATCTTGCACCTATTGGACTCAACCGGACTACTGTCCGTCATTCCACCATCCTCCCTCACCTGCCCCCAGCCTCCAGCCCACAACTCATCCCCTCATTCAACAATCTGATATACATTGAGCAATTACTGCATGCTAGGCACTGGATCAGAGTGCTAGTGACACAAAAATTAATAAAAAGCATAGTCCCCGTATTGAAGGAGTTACAATCTACAGTAGACAAGCCAGGACAGAATGACAATGCCCTCAGTGCTAAAACAGAGATCTACACAAAGGGTCACAAGGGCATAAACGAGGAAGCACCTCATTGCAGGGATCAGGGAAGCTGAGCGGGACTTCACCGGAGAGGGAGCGGGGCGCGCCGAGGACTCCCGGGACCCCACGCGCAGGGAGCCGGGACGAGGATGCTCCGGTTCTGGAGACCTGAGATGCCACCCTCTGGGGTGGCGGCGGGGACAATGGCCTACGGAGCGCAGCAGCGTTTCAACGTGACCCTGCGGTGCAGGAATCCCCCGCCCCCGCCCCCAGCACGGCCCCGGCGGCGCCGAGCGGCCCGGCCCCTACGTACCCCCTCGGTCTTCATGTCCAGGATCTTCTCCACCTCGAACACATCCTCGCCGTCCTCCTCGCTGTCCCCGACGGCCTCCGCTCCCTTCGCGGCCGCGCCCTTCTCTTCGCCCGCCGCCCCAACTCCTTTTCCTTCGACCCCGGGCGGCTCGCCGCTGCCGTCGGCACTCGAACCGGGAAGTGCGGCCGCGTTCGACCCCTCCGCCGCCGCCATAACGGAGCTCTGCAAGCGGCCGGGAGAGACGCTGCGACACGCGCCCC